GGGCAGCAACGGGGCCACGAAGGGCAGCGAGCGAAGGCGACCGCGGAACCAGTACGGGCAGCGAGGGGCATCGAAGGCGGGCGAAGGGCACTGAGCGGCGACTGCAGTCCCTAACGGGCTGGTCGGGCGGGCAGGCCCAGACGGGCGGGTCGAGCGGGCGGGTCGTTGAAGCGTAAATTCTGCTTGAACCGCCAGGCAATATGTAGCGGGAGCGCGATTCCTGAGTGTCGAGAGCGGCATATAAATAAATTGAAAGGAAATATCAAGCGGGAGCCGCGATTAGGTTGTAAGTTGCGAGGAAGTCCCAAGCGAGAGCACGATTCTTCAATACATTGTGAGGAAGTATCAAGCGGGAGCCCCGATCCGGTGGTAAATTGGAAGGAAGTCCCAAGCGAGAGCGCGATTCTTCAATGAATTGTGAGGAAATATCAGGTGGGAGCCGTTGCTGTTGTAAACCAGGGGCCAACAACGCAGTTTGACCTTCCAGATTTTCCCTGATAACAAACAGGGTGCGAGCCCCGGGAAGGGCACTTCAATCGAAAAAACAATGTGACGGGGGGATCAACAGTAATTGTTCTTCAGAACTGAGAGTTCAACAACAACAACCAACAACCAACAACCAACAACCAACAACCAACAACAACAACCAACAACCAATTATTCACTGCGTGGAGCTCCCTATATGTGCATCTACTCGCATGGACCTGTCCGCCGTGAATGTCTAGGCGCAAGAGCTTTCGAATATTAACGGGCTTCAGTTGTGACGGTCTGGACATCAATCTAACTGCGAATGAATTGGAGTGTGAATGAGCCTCAGTAGTACGAGCGCGTCTCTGTGCATGAGCCTGGGGCCTCCTGGGGCCTCCTGAAACCTACTGGGGCTTCCTGGGGTCTCCAGGAGCCTCTTGGGACCTCCTGGGACCTCCTAGGAAGGTTTCGTGCCCCAGGAGAGGCGCAATATATAGCAACAGACGTACATAAAGCATTGCGGATTGGAGCCACAGGAGAAGGGCAATACATATATATATAGGAACACGCGTAAAACACCAAGGACTCGTGCCCCAGGAGAGGCCCAATATATAGGAACATGAGTAAAACATTTAGGATTTTGTACACAGGAGAAGGACCATCTATAGAAACATACGTAGAACATCAAAGAATCGTGCTCCAGGTGAGGCCCAATCGATAGGAGCATACGTAAAACACATGGGATTGGAGCCACTCCTGTTGCCTTCTGAGGCCTCCTGCTCCTGGGGCCTCTCGGGGCCTCTTGTTGCCTTCCGAGGCCTCCTGGCGCTTCCTGTTGCCTCCTGGGGCCTCCTGTGGTTTCCTGAGGCCTTCTGGAGCTTCCTGGGGCCTCCTGGAGCCTCTTGGGACATCCTGTGGCCTCTTGAGTCTTTCTGTGGCCTCCTGATGCCTCCTGGGACCTCATGTGGTCTCCTGGGGCCTCCTGGAGCCTGTTGGAGCCTCCTGTGGCATCCTGAGAAGAATCTGCGCCCACGAGCCTGGCCACCAAAACAAGCAAACCGATCGAGACATCCTCAAAATCTGGCCCACCTGGGGGGTGAAAATGAGCGCCTCGCTCGAGACATCCTCCAAATCTGCTCCGAAAGCGAAGGATGTTGAGCCCAGAAACAAGCAAACCGCCTGAGACATCCCCACAAAATGGCCGCGAACGAGCCCGTGCAACCACCCCTGGCGGCTCCCCTTAGGGCCACGAGCTTGGCCACCAAAACAAGCAAACCGATCGAGACATCCTCAAAATCGGCCTACCTGGGGGGGGGGAATGAGCGCCTCGATCGAGACATCCTCCAAATCTGCTCTCCAAGCGAAGGATGTTGGGCCCAGAAACCAGCAAACCGCCTGAGACATCCCCACAAAATGGCCGCGAACGAGCCCGTGCAACCACCCCTGGCGGCTCCCCTTAGGGTTGCTGAAACCAGCGCCCCGCCTGAGACATCCTCACAATCTGCTCTCCAAGCGAAGGATGTTGGGCCCAGAAACAAGCAAACCGCCTGAGACATCCCCACAACATGGCCGCGAACGAGCCCGTGCAACCACCCCTGGCGGCTCCCCTTAGGGGTGCTGAAACCAGCGCCCCGCCTGAGACATCCTCACAATCTGCTCTCCAAGCGAAGGATGTTGGGCCCAGAAACAAGCAAACCGCCTGAGACATCCCCACAAAATGGCCGCGAACGAGCCCGTGCAACCACCCCTGGCGGCTCCCCTTAGGGGTGCTGAAACCAGCGCCCGCCTGAGACATCCTCACAATCTGCTCTCCAAGCGAAGGATGTTGGGCCCAGAAACAGGCAAACCGCCTGAGACATCCCCACAAAATGGCCGCGAACGAGCCCGTGCAACCACCCCTGGCGGCTCCCCTTAGGGGTGCTGAGTATGAGTAAGTCTGTGTATGAGTAAGTCTGTGTATGAGTAAGTCTGGGTATGAGTAGGTCTGTGTATGAGAAAGTCTGTGTATGTGTACGTCTGGGTATGAGTAAGTCTGAGTATGACTAATACTGTGTATGAGTAAGTCTGGGTATGAGTGAGTCTGTGTATGAGTACGTCTGGGTGTGAGTAGTATGAGTAAGTCTGTGTATGAGCGAGTGTGAGTATGAGTAAGTCCGACAGGAGGGGAGGAGGAGGGAGGAGAAGGAGGAGTAGGAGGCGTCCAAGTAATGACAAGAACCCCATCTTAGGATATGGGGAACAACCAACAACCAGCAACCAACAACCAACAACCAACAACCAACAACCAACAACCAACAACCAACAACCAACAACCAGCAACCAACTACCAACAACCAACAACCAACAACCAACAGCCAACAGCCAACAGCCAACAGCCACCAGCCAACAGCCAACAGCCAACAAGCAACAACCAACAACCAACAACCAACAACAAACAACAAACGACAAACGACAAACGACAAACAACAACAACAACAACAACAACAACAACAACAACAACAACAACAACAACAATTACTAGCACATGGGGACACTCCGTTCTCACCAGTGCCAGGGTTTTCATAGGAGGCGGGCAATACCCCCACTTTGTGGGGGGGCCGGTTCAAGCTCTACCAAATTTCCAAACGACTCTTCGCCACCACCCACACCCAGCTTCCCGCCCTATGACGTTCGGACACTTCACTTCGTGGCATGCGGACGACCGTGGCTACTATTCAGGGCCCCGCGGCCGACGACGACGGCGTGCGCGCGCGAAGAAAAAACGAATGTGTCCCGCATGGTATTATTTGACAGGGATGATGGCCCTGGCAGGTGCGCAACCGTTGTTGCAGAAAGGTGTATTATACTCGATGCCCTGCCGGAGCGCCCCGCATAATTTGAAAGGTGTATTATACTCGATGCCCAGGTGGCGGATGGCAGAACCGTGCTGCTCCTCCAGCTCCTGGGGGCTAGAAATACTAACCTTGCCAGGCACAACCCGATATTTGCCCCACCAAGTCTTGCACGCCTGGTGACTGACCTGGATACCCTTTGCAACGAGCGCCTGATGCAAATAATACGGGCTCTCGCAGTCGGCCAAGGGAGGCCGCGACAGCTCTGGGCCATACTGGTCGTCAAGGGCTTTCGCCGACAAAGCCATGACCCATCCAAGAACACAGGCGATACCTTGATCCGAGATGGCTACGGATGCGACAGTGATCAGTCGGAGGCTTCCTGGGGCCGCTTGGGGTCCTCTTGGGGAAGGGGGGAAGCCTCCTGGCGCCGCTTGGGGTCCTCTTGAGGGGCTTTGGGGGGCTTCTTGGAAGCATCTTGGGGCCTCTTGGGGGCTTATTGGGTCCTCACGGCGGGCTCTTGGGGCCTCTTGAAGGCCTCCTGGGGCAACCTATGGCGCAACCAGTAGGGGGACGTTTTATTCTCAGCGGCCGAGGGCGCAACCTATGGCGCAACCAATAGGGGGGCGTTTTATTCTCGGCGGCCGAGGGCGCAACCTATGGCGCAACCGCAAGGGATTATGGCCCCTGGCAGGCGCGCGAACCCCGTTGCAAGAGCGTGCGAAAGTAGCTCGCGCGAGCTCATGTAACATAAATGTTGGAAAACCATTGGTTTTTTTAGGATTCGGACAGCGCGCGCGGGTGGAAATTTTGAAAAGTCGTGCAGGTGTTTTTCGAGGACCTACGGTGCGATTCGTGTGATTTTATGATGCGCGGTGCTAAAATTCTTAAGAACCCAATGGTTTTTGGAGATTTCGGCGTGCGCGCGCGAAGAAAAAACGAATGTGTCCCGCATGGTATTATTTGACAGGGATGATGGCCCTGGCAGGTGCGCAACCGTTGTCGCAGAAGTTCGAAAAAGTTGCTCGCAAAAGCCCGTTTGACAGAAATGTTTAAAAAGTGTTGGGTTTCCTACGAATCCGCAAGAGCGCGCGGGATGAGATTTTGACATTTTTTTGTTGAAAAACCATTGGTTTTTTGATGTTTTTATGTTAAAATCGCTCCGAACACTAAGCTTTTGGAAGGATTTCGTCTTGCGCGCGCGAATGTCCACTTTACCTTATTTTTTGCAAGGGATTCTTGAAATTTGATTATATTAGAACAAGAAATGTCATTTTATAGTGTTTTTTGCAAGGGAAAACGGATTACAACAAAACAACCGGATCTGGACCCCATCCACTTTTCTGAAGCTTTCGCGAAAAAATGATGAAAATGTAGCTGCGGCCTAGGCGCGGCGGGGGGGCCGTGCACCAGGGGTCCCAACAATAATTATTCTTTAGAATTAATAATGTTCAACAACAACAACAGCAACAGCAACAGCAACAGCAGCAGCAACACACAACACAACAAAACAACGACAAAAACGCCGTCGGGGAATTGAGAAGGCGCCGATGTCGCTACGCTTGCCTCGTGTTCGCCATTCTGGGTCTCCTGGGAAGCTCTCGTTGCCGCGGCTGGAGCCGCTTCGAAGTTTTGGTCAGAGCGCACCCCAGGAGAGGCCCCGCCGGGCAGCGGCATCGGTACCTTGCGGTTCCCCCGGAGGAGGCCAGGTCGATTTGTTCGGCCCAGACCTCGGGGCTGGGGGCGACAAGTGGCGCGCCGTGGTCCGCGCCGAGAACGGCGACGTGTACGCCGCGCCGTGGGGCGGGGCGCGCGTGCTGCGCATCGAGCCGGACGCGGGGCGCGTGACGCCGGTGGGGCCCGACTTGAGCGGCGAGGGCGAGGAGAAGTGGAAGGCCATCGCCGTGGCGCGCGACGGCAGCGCCTACTGCCCGCCCTTCTGCGCTTCGAAGGTGCTGCGCATCGGCCTGGACGGCGGGGGCGAGGCAGGCGTGGAGTTCGTGGGCGGCGACCTCTGCTACGGCGGGCACAAGTGGTGCGGCGCCGTCCGGGGCGACGACGGCAGCGTCTATGCGACGCCGTGGCTGGCCAGCAAGGTGCTCCTCCTCCTCCTCCTCCTCCTCCTCCTCCTCCTCCCTCCTCCTCCCTCCTCCCTCCTCCCTCATCCCTCATCCCTCATCCACCTCCTCCTCCTCCTCCTCCTCCTCCTCCTCCTCCTCCTCCTCCTACTACTACTACTACTACTACTACTACTACTACTACTACTACTACTACTACTACTACTACTACTACTACTACTACTACTACTACTACTAC